AAAACTTTACACTTTTTTATACCATTTTGTTATACTGAACTGTAAATAATGTATATCCATTAAAAGGAATCTGAAAAAGTTCTTCGTTGTATGGTTACTTATATTATCTTTACCGCACTATCGACTGAGCGAATAATTTTGTGATCCACTGTATGTGTATAAAATGGCGTTTCAAATTTTTATAATCACCGCCATTTAATATTATGACCTGTGCACGCGGAAACAAAATAGGAATGTCATGACACATACAAATTCTAGTACAATTGTATTATCAATTCAATTTTCAAAGCGAATTATTCAAACATTATGTAAAATAGAATTTATCAGAATTATATTAACTGTTTTTCAGATACGAATGGAAGCGAACAATTTCTGGCGGTTACCCAGCTGTTGCGTCGTTTTATAAGGGAATATCAATGAGAGGATCCACTCACTCATTCATTGATGACCCCCAAACTTATGCGCGCAATAAGAAACGATTAGGACATTATATGCATGGTAGTCATGAACATAATTGCTCGATTTCATCGAATAAAACCGAAGAATTATACGTTTTCTCACCCCGGAAATACGGAGAAGATCCTGAAATGGAAGAGTTAGGTTTGTAATATCAAGAATTCCATAATCTATGCGCACATAGGCCTACCAACCGCAGTCGATAAAACTGTTGGCAAAAGGGGTAAGTAAGTAAGTATTTAGATAGAAGAATGTCGAGGACTGCCATGCCCGTTGGCTCCCATAACAACAGATTAATCGTAGAATTTATTTACATTCAATTTTAAATTTCGGTCAGATGTAAAATATTGCTTGATTGCCATTACTTCTCCACTACGTTCCAGAATCTACCTTTTTCCTATCACCTGTACTTGATAAGATTATACATATAAAGTACTTTGAACATGGTCAGCAAAAAGACAAATTGCATTATACTCGAAGTGCAAAATTTTTGTGATTTTTGTATCCACTGCGTATAGACAAAGTTGAATTAATGAATGGTTACCTCACACAAGACCAACGAACCATTAATGACATATCACAATTCCTTTGTACCCTATTTTAACCATTGCTCAGACTTGTCTGTGAACCTTATGTAAGTGTCTACTTATATAATGGTGATTATACTTACAATTTGTTGACGTTTGTCCATTTATTAATGTATAAATATTGTTTTATATGCTAATTTTTCATTTTTCAGATAGATTGTAATATATGTTTTATTTAAAAAGTTTATATAAATGTTTCCCTTTATATTTAGTAATAAGATTAATGAAATGTGACAGTAATTTACCGATAATAGGATTTGTGGATGTATTGAAATGCAAGAAAGATATGACAATGAATAAAATTGAAAATTTTAATTTAAAAATTATTGTAAATAAGTTCTATTTTCTTTTTTATAAATGCATTTGGTATGGACACAGTTTAATATACAAAAACACTATGGAAGATATGTAAGGCTGTGACATTTTAATTAAAATATTATTCTTCTATTACACAAATTTTATATACCTTAAGTATTATGTACAGTCCGCCTCTCATGCTAGCTCCATCAGCCAGAGATTTAAAAGTGCAGGAGAACAAGAGGATTCTTCCACTTACGACGCTCGGATCTTGGCGTGCGCCAATGACCTTGCGTTGAAAGTCGAGTGTTGTGAATATAAGAATCCTCTTGCCCCTGTGCAATTTTAAACCTATGACCCATGCAGCCAACGTAAGAGACGTATAGAATTTAATGTCTCATAGAGAAGAAATTTTATTGTATAAAAGTAGTTTTAAATGTCACATATTTAATTCAGAAATATCAAAAAGTTATTTCAGATATTAGTAACATTTTCCTTTTATTCTATATGAAATTAGAAGTAATCTTATAAAATTATTTATGATCTCGCTTTGGTTGAAATAGCTAATACAATTACATTATTATTTGTGTAAGTAAAACTAAACTTTTAAATATTGATAGCAGTAGCGGTATTAATATAAAATGTTTATCTTATAGTTAATATTATTAGCAATTTCATAAAACGATGTTTTTAAATGTTATTATATCAACCTACAATAACTTTTTAATATTAGAATTTCATTTTATATTAATATTAAGTCTTGCATTACTTCATAACATAGGAAAATAAACTGAATGTATTCTTCTATTATTGCATTAATAAAAGTTTCTTAATTGTATTACTAATGCTTATGTCTGTATGTACATTATATGTAAAATTATAATAAA